TATCGAGGCGACCTAACCGTTGATCACAGGGGGGTAGCGGTCTCGGTCGATCCCGCTTCCCTTGGTGTTTCATCTCGCCCACGCGTGTCTGTCTCCGTGACTCTGCTGTGCCAGTGCCCGTCGTTCGATCGGCTCTCGTTCCCCGTGAAACACGGTCGACCCTGCATGCGGAGGAAGCGTGCGGGAACAAACGAAGGTAGTACGCCTGTCGCAACGAGGGTGCACACGGGGGATGTGCGGCTCGGACGAGGCTTCGCCGTAGTACTAGCTCGGTGAGATGACGGCGGACGTGTGGTGAAGGAGGCCCCGCGGGTTCTTGTTCGTCGGTGATCACGGCGTCGAACGCGAAACCGCGACGTCGCGAGCCACGCACCGAAAATGGTAAGACCTCCGGCGGTGGGTTTGCTCGTGGGGGTTGTGATTTTATTCTTTCGCTTTCGGTGGATCCATTGGAACGCTCGTGGATTGATAACGTTGACAGCTCGCTTACCGATCGAGCGAACGTTGATTTCTCTATTCTGCGGTTTGGGTTTCGCAGTCCTATTGCTTTTGGATTTGGGGATGACAGCGGAGAGGGCTGGAATGTTTCGACGGGGGTCGGGTGATTCTCTGGGAGGGGTGATCCGGATGCCAGTACACTTTCTGCACGGGTCGTTCTATTCTGTAGCATTTCCGACCTGGCAGGCATGCTTGCCGAAGACTTGAGAAATCAATGCCTTGCCTGAATAGGATTAGATAAATCGAAACGCTCGAAACGCGGTCGGTCGGCGTTAATCCCTACTTTCGAGTTAACGTCGCGATTTGTGGTGGATACGTGTGTGCATGTGTGTATCTACACGGGTGCGTGTGTGGGGAAGTGTTGTGCACTCGTGACGCTGTGGACGGTTGGCAACCATATGCAACCGTCTCTTTCAGTCTTCTTTTTTTCTGGGAGTCTAGTGGATATGATTTGTTTCATGAATTCTGCGATCATTTGTTGTTATCTTCCTTTAGTTTCATTCGTTTTTTAATGAGAAGATGCACGGCGGGTGAGAGAATGTTTAGACTATTTAGAAATAATTATCTGAGTTTCGTTGGAAAGTTTGAGAATTCGTTGTGTTGTCCATATTTGTGTGTTCTTTTCTTGAATTTCTTTGTTTGTATTTAAAAGACGTTTGTATCAGACTTTCGTTACGCGTCGAAAGTCGAACGTAACACTTCATACGTCACACGGTTACGATCGAACAGCGATCAACTTGTAACGTTCTCGGCAGCGTGGATTTCTTTATAAAATCGATCGCGTACGTTACACCAGCACCGCATTACATTGCCTCGTAACAGGTGGTACGTCGGAACAGATACTGTTAAGAAAAAGTGAAGGGGTGGGAGATATTTGTTGTCAACAACGAGAGTGTATCCATTTTCACAGAAACTTGTTCGATAGTGTTGACCTTTGTCGTGTAAAAAGAAAGCGAATTTCCTTATAGTTTTTATTCTTTTTATCTATTATCCTGAAATCGAAGCAAAATTAGAAATTCTGCAGGGACATAGATGTTGTAAATTTCATTAATATGTATATATTTACTAAATTTTTATTACAGTTTCGTTAACATTTTTATATATTCCACATCATTAGACTGCAGATTCTTAAGCAAGTTTACATTTTTATAGATTACTCAACAGAAACAATAACGAATTAAAAATAACTTAAAAATTTCCACGAACATGAATCTTTCATTACTCCAATTGCACGCTATACTGCAATAAACGCATAAAATCCGCAGTCTACGAATACAATCGACGCATCCGCATCGATCACGAGTGCATTCCCAAAAACGAAACTCGTCGTAGATTCTCGATCGAGGTGTCCCCTTTCATCCGGATAAGCGCACGGTGTCCAATAACAAAAGGAAAGGAAAAGCTGAACACGACGATCGAAATTTCAGACACGCGATAAAAATGCGTTTCGCGCAAAAGAAGCATCGGAACGCCGCGGCACGATCGAACACGATTTCGAGAAACTGAGCGCAACGGCGACGGATGATGAATCACGAAAACGGTTGAAAGGCGGCTGTACGCAGTGCAACAAGAGGCGGGAGAGGTGAAAGTGACGATGAAGAAGAAAGAGTGGCGTTCCTAATTGGAGAATGAGCGGATTTTTCAACTCCCTCAAAAACTTCGCGTCAGGAGCCGCGTACGCTGCCAGCTCTGCCACGAAGTACGAAGAACTGGAAGGTGAAAACATTATTCTCAGATACCGCCGTCGGCTGCACGTGAAACATGCTCCGTTTCCCAATTTGAAACCGTCGCGGTTCAGTTGAATTTTCTTTCGCCCACCTGCACGATGCAATTTGCTCTGTACACGTACCAGCGATAAAAAGCTTTCGCGGTTTATGTGAAGAATGGGTCGCGAGATGCGATCTTTTAATTCGTTTTCGGTAGAATTTCAGTTGGTGTTGGTTTACCGTGAGAACTTGGGCTCCGAAACCGATGCTAGGAGAGTTTACTAGAAACTTAATATCCTTTTGTTAGTTTAAAACAATTTATCTTACGTTCGATGGTTATTTACGATATTTTGTATCGAATGTTTTGTCTCGATGTTGGAAAGATATTTGGTCTGAGACCCGTGGTACAATACTTTCACGGTGGTGGGGGTTATGTGTATATTTTATGTTCGCACCTGTGCATTGGAGGCCCCAAGTTCGCTTGGTAGAACTACTCTATGTGTATTTTAATTGTTCTGAATACAACTGTGTTGATTAATTCAAACAGCATTGGACGGCTTTTAGAGATTAAAGGTTAATAATTATGATAATGTATTTCAGGAAATGATAAATATTTGTAATATCAATTTCTTGGAGGTTTTTATAAGACGAGATATTATGCACACATTTAGCTTCTTCCGCAAGGAATATATTACGCTAACAGCGATATAAAAAGTCTCTTGAGGCTTTATTAAAGTGTCCGGTTCATTATACAAAGTAAATTGTTAGGTAATCTTCTTTTCCTCCTTTCTTCTCTTGAGATCATTATCCTTAAACGAAAATAGAATGTCTCCTACGGTTATAAAAAAAGAAACTCGCGAAAGTCGTGGGCCAACTGAAGAATCGGAATAAATTAAGATCTGTTTGAACATCTCCAATCAACTTTGCCGAACTTTGCATGTTCTTGAATTAATGCATGTTAATGTAAAGTATTGTAAGTAAATGTATTACTAAAATGTTTATATTCTATGACCTCATCCATATGCATGAATCTAGAACGAGTAAGAACTGCGATAGCGTTGGCAGCGAGCCTTCTTTGAAACTTGGCTACTTCCAGCAGAAAAATGATCAAAATCTATCACGATTTTATGTACGGGATCCTGTGCACCTTGTTCAGTGACATTATCGAACGACATAAAACAAATTAATCGATGCTGCAAATGTCAGAAATAAATATTCTCAGATAAACATTCTACCTAAATAAACATTCAACAGTTTTTCCAGCACGCGCGGCTGCACACGATTAACCTTACATGCCTCGAAGCTGCTTTATAACGTCGCACTGTCATAAATCGCTGTTGTAAATCAGCAATCGTTGTACCCTAATAATTGAAAATCATGTTTATTTAAGATATCTCGTACAGTAGCTCGAAGTAGGTATAATAATTCAGGACATAAAGCGTTAAACGATCCCGGTTGGAATGAAATCGGACGCCTGGAAAAAGAGAAGACTCGCACGACAAAAGGATAATGTTGTATTTCAAATGCGCTCGGATAGACCGGTCACGAGTTTACGTTATTCTGGCGTAGTTGTAAAATTTATGGCGGGACGAGTGTGCACTTCAGCCCGCTGATGCGGAATAGTACGTGGGTAATGAACTCATAGTATACGGCCAAATTGCTGTTGAATACTGCTTCTAAAGATATTGTATGATAATTGCGCCGGGCGCAGATATAACTATCCGTTTTTCCAACGGACCAGCATTATCATTTTAACGAGCTAGCATTAATCGTCTCCGCGTGAAAATGGTAACCAGCGTGTTCAACAATTTGTTGGGGGATCATGCTACGGATTCTATACGTATTCCAAGAACTTCAAACATCATTAACATTACAATTTTTCAAACGACTAAACTCGTTCCCTTTAACACCTGTTGTCGCATGTTGAGCTAATTAGCGCACTAATTAACGTGATGCAGTTAATACACAAATACATCCCGCGGAAACGAAAGATAACGCTCAACAGAAATGCGGAAATTCTTCGTTTACATTGGGACGCGGCTATCGTTCGAGCTATGTCGTTCAAAATGGAACTGCGTTTAACGCTTGAAATGTGAATATAGAAATAGTTAAACATCTGTTACCAGCTTTGCAGAATTCCAGCCGGGTAATCATGTTTCCGCGTTTAAAACGATAAAACTATTTCCCGTATACACATTAATTAGCTCCACGTTTCGTAAACATCGGGTCGTTTGATACGGCAGAAGTGCGCGTATATTCGCATGTTTGCTTGACGTTTCGGTGTGTAGGAGGTTTGACAATATAACTTCGTCCTTTCGATTGGATTAGACACAACTGACGTTTATGTTTGTCCAGCGGAACGACTGCTGGTCGTTTATGATCGATTCTGTTATTCACGGTCTTACTTACGATCGTTCGAATAAATTTTTTGACGATCGTATCCGGTGCTTCGATTAAAATCGAATTCCCGTAATAATTCTCTTTTACAATAGTCCCGATTGATTGAATTCTATGATAGATACCCATGAAGAAGGTATTGTCTCTCAAGAGGAAGTAAACTTAATCAATTGCCATCAACTATTTTCTTCAAATGTCAAATATTCATTTAATACTTGAAGCTTACTTAGAATTTGATGATTAAGAATGATTTTTACAGTTCCTACTAGAATAATCGACTAATTGAAGGTAAATGTTTATCTAAGTACACTCGAGTGCTTCAAGTGTGCCACTGCTTTGATTAAAGTCTCGAATGAAGCTGCTTGTCGCGTTGACCCATCAAATTTCTTCAATTTACAGTCGAGGACACGAAGATGAGATTCAGCCTGACTCCACAGCCGGGAGAAAGTGGTTTCATACAATGGCTGGACGCGATGAAAATGGTCGCCAGACTGCAAGGAGGTATACCACCGGAGTTTCGGAAGAAGGTAAGATACCGGCGAGAACAGTTCGCCCGACCGTAGAACGATCTCGTTCGTTCCTGAAGCAGTGACGCGTATCCTCATCTGAAAAATATTTGTCGCAGTTATGGCTGACGCTGGCGGAACGTCATCTAGAGCAGCGCGGTGTAGATTGGAAGCAGGCTGAAAAGGTCTGCTTCAACGAGTGGAGCAATCCTGACGATGAAGAGCTCGGTATACAGATCGTTAAAGTAAGACTGGGAAACGTATATCCTTTTTACAACACTTCCTCCTTCCATCTAGCGATCCCCATTTCATCCTGCACCGTTCTTAACGACATTTCAAGGGTCCCTTGATGAATACTTGGCGCAACGAGAAATTGAAGTATATCGGATCGCTGTGTCAATTGCCTCGATCAAATCTTAATTGGGCCAGAAAAATAGAATCTTATTTCTCTCGGGAGTATCCGAACAAGGTCGATTGAAAACCATATATTGCGAATCTAAATGCAAACTTCTTTTCAACGGTGTAAGATAATTCAGATATTTTAAACAACAAAAACTCTCGGATCGACACGGATAAAACAAGATCTGAGTGTATTAAATCTTTACAAGATATAATCCCTGAAACGTAAATCAATGACAGTCGTTTTATTAGTTCGATCTGTACACAGAAAAGACAAATCCACCTTAATTTCTCATAAAATCATAAAGATAAACCCCGTCTGGCTCGCCAATTAAACACAGATCGCGAACGTTTAATCTTTCTCTCCCCGATCACGATTACCCTCCATCGGCGAAAAATGTCTAATTAGAGAGGGATTTCTGAACATGTTCGTCCGAGCCGAGAAGTCCACCGAACCGAATATCTCCTCTTGCATAACACGTCCAGAAAAAGAGATAAAAATTGTCCGCGTGACGCAATCGCGAGTGATGGCCCTCGGCTGTAACGCGGCTGGAACGGTCCCCGTCCCGTGTATATAATTACACGCAATTAAATTTCGATCATTAATCACTTCGACGCCGGGCAATTAAACGTCGCCGATGAGCCTTCCAATTAGCTCGGTCGCACGATGAAGGAACGACCTATGACGAACTTGACGTAGAATAGACGATCGACGCTCGTTTACGGCGAACCATTTATCGCGAGGGTCACGAAGAAAATTTCCCGAAGCAGTATAATAAAATTGGTTGGTCCTTCGCAGGATTTACACAGGACAGGCTGCAGTCTGTTTTGCGGGGCAGCTGGCAGAGACAATCAAGCGGTGCTCCGTCGTGTTCTGCTCGGCTTCGCCCGATGGAACAAGTCCGTCGGCTATTGCCAAGGCCTGAACGTGCTCGCCGCCCTCGTTCTGCAAGTTATGGATCGGGCCGAGTCCGCCGCGGTGAAGGTGATGATCTACTTGATAGAAGGTGTCCTGCCGGAGGGTTATTTCGGGGACAATCTGCGCGGCCTCTCCGTCGACATGGCGGTGTTCCGCGATCTCCTGCGGACCAGGCTGCCCAAGCTTTCGAAACACCTCGAGGCACTACAGAACGACGCGAAGGACAAGGCGACAGGTTATTCCTTTTCGAGCAAGTCCCTACAGTGTTTGTTTCGTGTTTGGCCGAGGAATCGGGCTGATTTTCTTGGGGATTTCTGGCAGCGTGACTGACGTTTCCGACACGTCTGAAACATGCTCGCCAGAAATGTGTAGATGCAGCTTATAGTATGTTTTATTACGTAATACATAATATAAGTGGACGTGCCGTCAAGAAAATCTGAATGTATTTATTTCTCGGCTTAAACATTCCCTTGTTTCCGGCGAAAATATTCGGGTTACTGATGCAGTTCCCTTTCCAGGCAGCAGCTACGAGCCACCTTTGACGAATGTGTTCACGATGCAATGGTTCCTTACCCTCTTTTGCCACTGTTTACCTCAAGAAGCGGTACTTCGAGTCTGGGATCTGATATTTCTTGAAGGAGACGAGATTTTACTTAGAACTGCTTTGACCATCTGGGAGGGATTATCAGAGTAGGTGCTAACTTTGAGATTTTTATTGAATACGTCGATAAGTAATTGTATAATTTCTTAGTTAATAAAAACGGTTTAAGTTGGTGGAGAACAACAATGACTATCATTAAGGAGACACGTATTGTCTTCGGTAATGTTGATATTATAATAACTCGAAGTTTCCTTCCAGTCGTATCATGACCGTCACATCAGCCGACGAATTTTACAGTATAATGGGCGTCCTGACTAGGGAGATGCTGGAATTCACAGATACGAATAGTCTTATTAAGGTTAGTTCACTTGTACCTTTAAACGAATAGTTTAAACTTCAGCAGCATACTGTATGGAACGAACTGACAAAATTTATCATTTGAAATATCATCTGTTCCAAAAATTCACGCTGTTGTTTCTACAAAATGTGCAGTAAAAGTATCATTTTGGAACATCATTTGAGTTAAATGCAATTTTTGTTGGCTGCATATTGAATTGTATTATTTCTGCATAGAACATTGTCAGTATGGGACCTTTACAAGGTGTAACGGGTTTGAGGGAGAAGCACAGATACAATATCACACCGTGGGCAAGGAAGCTGAGCGACGACGACGACAGCGATACGGAAGAAGATGAAAGATTGGCCGTGGCTGCTGCGATGTTTAGCATGGCGCAACGCTTGAAGAAAGGTGAGAGGAAAGAAAAAGCTGAAAATACATTGTCGTTGTAACAATAGTATTCTTACGGTGTCATTTGTGTCTGTGCCCGTGTCACGGAAGACATGCTTGTAGATCGTATACCTCAAACAATCGGCGCGCTGCAGGCAATGGCGCCCAGCAGCGATCGAGAACGCCTCGCTTTGGACATTAGTACATTGAAGCAGCAGTACGCTAAGTTACGGGAACGTCAACGTCAGGCGCACATAATTCTATCCGGTAATTGTTCATTTCAACCATACGTTTCGACCTTCGCTGCTTTTTAAATGTGCAAGGAGTCGCTTAAAACTTGCTGTTTACTTCGTTAATGTCGAAGTGGCTTCAAAATAGCGTTTGAAAAGAAGCGAATGCAGCGTACATTCGGCTAGCTAAGCTACAGCCAGCATAATGTGAGCGTGAACTTTGAATTTTCGTTTCGTGGATTCGAAATGTCTGTACAAGTGCTATGAATGTATGTTCGCTTAAAATAGAATCAGAGCAAAAATGCATAAATTCTTTCTTGACGCAGCTGCATGTGCAAGGCAGACCATGGTACCACCTCCTACTTCTCAGGCCATGAATCATCTTTTAGTGGGCAAAAATGCGCTTGTGAGCGCGAAGAATCGACCCCTGAGTCTACCTTCTACTGCACAGGCGAAGACACGACCTACACCTCTAAGTCATAACCGAAGGGACAGGCAGCAAGGAGTTACGCTGCATTGGAAGGACACGAAGAAAGCGAAGCAGAAAGCTGCGAGCGCATCAGGTTCGTGACTTTATCCGCGTGATTTGTCACAAATCAATAACACTCGTACTGTCAAAAATCATTATTCTACGGTTTATCAACTCTTATTGTATGCAATTTGAATAATTGAACAATAGATAATTAAGAAAGAGATTACATTTTCGTTAATTAACTTATTTACGAAGAAATCATTTTTCTTTATGTTTGACAATGTTATACTTGAGTCAATCACATTTCATAAATAGTAGATTCAGATTTGAACTATTTATTTTTTAAGAGTATTGCAATAGAAAATTGTTTATCAACTTAAAACAATGAAATTTTACCAGAAGCCGGTAACATAGAAATCTTGTGTCTGAGCTTAACTACTATTGGTAAGCTTTATGTTCCGATGGTAGTCTTATTGTCTATCGATAAAGAAGTTAGCTTAACCATCTTATTGATCGATGAGGTACAAACTTAGAATATCTACCGATCGTCCACAATTTGTTGACTAAGCAAACTTATTGGTCGAAACGGTTACATTTACATATTTAATCGCGCGAAGGATACAAACGAACGCAGTAAGAACAAGTGAAACAAAATGAAGCGAGGTGATGACTTCCAAGCATTGACGCGAGCCGCGTTCAAACACTTCTCATATCCTTTATCCTCTTTTCTTCTGTCCTATTCTGCTTTCGTCTGTTCCTTTCTCCTTTCCTCTTCTCACCATTGACTACCAACGAAATAAAAATTTCACTATTTATTTTTTCTTTTCTTTACATTTTTTTAAATTCAAACTTAGAAGATATTATCATTAGTTTGCTAAAATCAATTTATAGTTGATTAGATGTTAAGATTAGGAGTGGGGACAGGCGGTGCTACCAACCTTGTTGCCCCTGTGCCGTCACAAGAAGATAATAAATATCGCTTCTCTAACCTTTTTTACAAAAATGATATGTCTATGAATGAAAGAAAGAAAGCAAGTACAAATGTTTCAAAATGTCGCAGCAAAGATAATGCTCTGGTTGCACATTCATCATTCAAACATCATATTTATCGCTTCATCTTTTTTTTGTCCCAGGTGTAGCAGAAACTGCATCGTTGCAACCACAGGATGCTGAGCTAGCATCTCCAAAGCGCGGCAATGGCGACAGCGACAGCGACAGCACGTCGACCGAACTGTGCGATGAACCGGATCGTCTCAGCGACGTCGACAGCGAGGATTTGACGTCAGCGTCTGAATCCTACGTCATGGCTACGGACGAAGAGAGAACGTTTCGTGGCGGAGACTCGCCGATGCCAGACAAGGCTCTTGACGAGAAGAACGAGCCAGCCTCCGAAGACGTGAAACAGGACTCTGGATTAGTCGAGGAAAATTTGGGCGACATGTCGATCGCGAAGATAACAGATCAGATACGACGATTGTCCGCGGAAGATGACAATAATTCAATGGTTCCTCAATCGTTCAGCGTACTAAACAAACATTTGCCTGGTGACTCGACGATAGAACCGTCACTGGAGAAGGATCTTTCGCCGGCCGATCTTAAGACGGAGTTCTCGTTGGATACCGGCGTGGAGAAGTCGTTGGCTTTGGACGAATACGAATACTTAAGTTTCGGCGTGAACACGGTGAGTGTGAAAGAGGAGGAAGTGTTGGTGCACGAGAGACACAGGCCGAAAGGTCCTGCTAGAGACATCGACGATTTCGCGGACAGTCTGAACGACCCGGTGCAGGACATAACGTCTACGGTCGCTCAACGTCAAGATCCGAACACATTTTCGGAATTCTCGATGTCGTTGGCCACGAAGTACGATCATGTCTCCGACGAACCTACGCCGGCAGACACGGGCTACGGTAAAATCGCAGAGAAAACTGAGTCGTTAGATAAAGTGTACAATGACGCCTCCGATAGAACGGTTTCCTTGGACGAAAAATGCGATACCCTGACGGAGACGGCTACGTCGTTAGATACAAGGTATGATAAAATCATAGATAAAACCACCCTAGTAGACAGAAAATGCGATGAAATGACAGAGAAATCTATTTTGTTAGATAGAAAGTACGATGATATCGCGGAGAAGGCTACTTCGTTAGACACAAAGTACAACAGAAGGGCAGGAACTACTTCGTTGCAAACGATGCACGATCAGTTCGCGGACAGGGCCGCTACTTTAGATATAACATACGAGAAAATGGCAGGGATATCTTCCTCGTTAGATGCAAAAGTGGATGTTACCGCAGGCAGGATTTCCCCGTTAGAAAGAAAGTTCGATAACATTGGAGATACGAGTATGCCGTTAGATACAAGGGTCGACGATTTAAACCGAGCAACTTCGTTAGACTCGAAATACGAGATTCCTATTTCGTTAAACGCAAAACTAGACGCGATTTCGCCGTTAGAAATGAAATTCGACAAAATAGTAGGGTCATCTGTGTCGTTAAGTATAAAGAACGACGAGATCGTAGGCAGAAACGTGACATCGGACACGAAATACGACAAAATATCAGGGAAATCTACGTCGTTAGACGCGAAATACGATGAAATTGTAGACAGAGTTACTCCATCGGACGTAACATACACTAAAACAGCGAAATCCAGCTCGCTAGATTCAAAATATGATGGAGTCTCTGATAGAATAACTTCCTTCGACACGAGGTACGAGAAAGTCTCTTCATTAGATTCAAAGTATGATCAGATTGTAGAGAAGACGTCATCCTTGAACATGAAGTTCGACAAGATTCCAGGCAAGCCTGTCCTCGACCTGGGAACGGAAAACGGCGACAGGTACAGATTGTCTTTCGACTTTTCTAGCAGACTATCCCTAGATTCTAAACCCTATGACCCACCAAAAATAAGTCCTTCAGTAGCCGAGCCACCAAGTACGATCAGCATAGACAGAAACCTTTACTGTAAAACGTATGTCGGTCATCTTCCGATCTCACCAGTAACAGTCGATCAGAAATTAAATCAAATAACGTCTGTACACAGCACGAACAACATCCCCATTCTGACCACAGAATCCACTAATTCCCAAGTCACTGGAAAGGCGTACTTCATCGATAGAATCTCAACTACTCAGACAAAAACGTATTCGGACATGAAGAAGAGTCCTCAGACACCGGAGAGCAACAAGTCCTTCAGTTCTGGAGAGACGATGGGGCCGGACTCGAAACCTTCCAGCATGACGATCAGTCCGAGGACTCCAGTCAGGTCTGACTCGCGTGACTACCTGATGGACAAGTCGGTGTCATCTTCGATTAGCTCGGATTCGAAGACCTTAGTGTTCCGATCAGTAGATTCTGACGTGACCAGGGACAGTGACAAAACTGATACAAAAAAGTCAAGAACTGACTATGATAAATCCAACTCATTGACGCCTATCAGCACGGACTCGCTGAGGATCAAGTCGGACACCAGCCCGAAGCTAGTCATCAGCAGCTCCAGTGACTCGTGCAGCCCCGGAAAATTGAAGTCTTCCGAGAGGTCGTTCAGTTCAGACCTCCAATCGCCAATCAGTGCCAACTCGATCAAGTATACCTCGAATTACAATAGACGGGGCCAGGACGACGTGTCCAGCTCGCCAATGGACCTGAGTGCGGCCACGTCGCCGTTCTATCCGATCTCGAATCCGAATCAAAAGACTCCTCCCTCGCCTTACAGCGCGTCTAGACGTCGGTCTAGCTTGGATAGCACGGAAACGTCGCCTGAACAGAAATCCAGTAGCTCGAAGGAATCGAATAAGTACTTGGGCTATCAGTCGAAGTTTGATTCCACCTTAAAATCCGATGTCAAAGATACGGACACTGGAGCTACCAGAAGCGAAGACTTTCTAAGAAAAGATTATAGCTCGAAGAAAGATGAATTGAGTACAAGTTTAAGCGATGGGAGGAACGGAGGTACTGATGCTCACTTCTATCAGTCGAGTAGCACCGACTACTACAGGAAAGATAAAGATTTGGACGATGGAAGTGATGATCCTCTATCGGAGAAAGATGTGGTTCCATCTTTGCCACGGGAGAAACTAGATAAACATTATCTGAATTATCGATACAGGGACAGGTCGAAGCTGTTAGAGAGAAGTTCTAGTAGTCTGGACAGCAGACGATTCGTCGACATGAAGTCCTCGGTCTCCTCGGACGAGTTCAGCACGTCGATGGTGAAGAAGAGGTCCAGTGACATTTTAGAAGACATCAAGCACTTGGAGGCGAAGGCGAATGATGGGACCTCGGACCCTGGGATAATGACCAAGAAAAGTAGTTATATCTGGGAGGACTTGAAGAGTCTGGAGGCTAGGCGGCAGGACACTTTCAGCGATTCGGCGAGTTCATTTTCTAAACGTCGCTTGGAGATACCTGATATAAGCGTGACGGGAGAAGGCAGGAAATCTTACATCGTTCATCCTAGAATTAATATTGATGAGAATACCGACAGTATCTTGAACACTGTGGCTCGTAGCCAGAACAATGGCGACGCGGATGATGGCAGGGAGTCGAAATTAGGCGTTTGGACGAAGGTGAAGCCTCGAAAGAAGAATGACAATGGAAGAAGAAACAGCGACAGGGCGCTGAAGATCATCCAAGAGAATTCTGTGATTCTGCAGAAGATCCTCGCCTGCCAGGCAAAAAAACGGTTGCCGGATCTCGAGGAGATTTCTAAGGAGATCAGCATAAGTCCGATAAATGAGGAGATTTCAAAGATCTTCAGTCCAATTCTCGAGAAGATGGGCCTGAACGAGCACGAGATCAACGAGGAACTGGCGCGAATCAATTTCAAAGACTTCGACAACATGACAGCTACCAGCGTGTCCGAGTTCGATGCGAAGATAAACGAAGAACTTTCCAGGTTATCTCTAATTGACGACAACGAGCAGGTAGATCACTTTGATGTAGACGAGGTGATCGCTCATCAGTACTCGGACACTAGGGAGGCTTTAATAGATCGGAAGATAAATGAAGAATTATCAAAGCTGTTGTTGAACTACGAAGATCGTTCTCCAGCGAGTTTGAATCTGGAGAAGGGCTCGTCGAGTCAGAACGTCAGTGAAATCGACGGTTTGGACTTGTCCAGCATCTCTACTAATGTTTTCTCTTACAAATCATCGAACGACTCTATTGACGCTAAAAGCGAGTTGGGATCTGCTCAGGAACCATCGATACAGGTCGAAAAATTCTCTCAGTATACGGAGAAAGTGTTACCCTACAGCGTGTCGAAGTACAGAGATGATGATTCGTCGCCAAAAAGCGACATAGACATCTACAGGGAGCTAGAGAAACTTGATAAGATCTCTTCAGCCCAGGTGCTGCCGGAACCAAGGAGTTTAGAGCTTCCTTCCGAAGACCTTTCCTCCATTCCGTACGTCTCAAATACTTCGCCGTTCAAAGACGTTCCGCCGATCAGATACACGACCAAGCCCGTTCAATACGACACGTCGCCTCTGAAAACCCTTTACGATCCTTACAAAAGCTTCGACTTCAAGCCTAAGCTGTCTCCAAAGCATGCGTCTACTAATCCTTTCGTTGCTGCGTCTTACGACAAGCCTGTCATCGATACCGCTTTCGAGTATATCAATAACAAGCCCGAATTATCCGTGAACACCTTCGAAACGCATTTGAAGAGTCCACTGTTGACGAAGGAATCGTTAGAGTTCCGAGTAAGGTACGACGAAGAGCCTTCTAGGGACATCAGCAGCGATTACATGTCTCTGCAACCGGACAGATCGTTGACCTCTAGTAAGTCCCCTTATTACAGCAACGGGAATACCGAGCCACTGACTCCTACGAAATACTTGGCCAAGGAGGACAGGTGTTTAGACTCCAGTGTATCCCCTTTCATGGAGTTTAGCGGTGAGTCCTCTGATCTGCGTCGCAAATACGATCCATTGTCCCCTAAAGAGTACGCTCACGGCAAGAACACGGACTACGAAAGACACTTGAGCACGCTGCCCTCCATAGAGGCACCCTCAGAGCTAGGCTCGTATCTGCCTACCAAGAACCTGGACTACCATCCTCTGTCGCCTAATCGGCAATACAGCAATCAATGTTTCCCGACAGCAACGAACCACTACGCGTCGAAGCTGTCTCCAGGCCTGGCCGACGAGAGCAAGCGGCCCGTTTCGCATCCCGAATTCCCTGGGAAGATAACTATAGGGAAGTACACCGAGCTGCCTGACAGAGGAGCCGCCAGCAGCTATCAGAAGTCTTCTTTGAGTCTCGGTAACATCGGTCACTCGAGCAAAGGGGTGGAAAACAATTTTAGTACCGTGACCAGCCCGAAGACACAGTTCAGCCCGTTTCCTGTGAGGAACGCACCCAGGAAGCCGAAGGAATTAACGCTGAAGCTGGGTCTCTACTCGCAGAAGAACCCTGACGCGGGACAGTTGAAGAGGTCATAGTGCGAGACTGTTGGGACGTGTCACTTCAGGTTCGATTCGTTGATCTGTGCGGAAGGGGTAAACGTATGGTTGTGGTGGATCAGTGTTTAAACAAGCTCCTCCGTGCGACAGCTGTTTGGAGATTTGCATCGGTGACTTACGTCAGATGGTGGGCCTAAGTTATCGTTCCCGATTATCGTGAAGCTCGATCTCACGGCGAACTTTGCGGCTCCGTACAGTGTTTGATGTCGATGTATCATTCGTCGATATAATGCGTAATTGTTTTGAAGTCCAGGTCCGCCTTATTAGATTGATGTCTGATGAAGATACGGAGGACTCTGGTCTGGTTGCTATCGTTTCGTTGTTTCAGTCGGCGGCACGACTTCAGAACGTTACGAAAGAGATGAAATGTTAAAAGGGATCGAACGCTGAACAGAATTTTCGCGTATACTGTCGCATGACTTCCCCTCCTCTTTAGCGATAATCATTAACTACGTTTTCTCCGAATGTTTATAGTCTATGAACGTTGACTAATTAACGAACATTTTTTACGAGCTCTGCTTTGAACGGCTTCACGGAAATCTCGGCGTCTCTCTTTTATTCTTTTCCTTAATGAAGAGAGGGGGAATGGTTGACAATTCTCTCTTGAGGAAGAAGAGAGAGATCGAGAGAGAAAGAAAAACAAATGCTTGCTGAATAGCACTAAAGATCCACGCGGAACACACTTGCAATTTCTAATGCGATGCCTTCGATCTCCCTCCAATCTCGCAAAGAAACCTTGTTATCACATCTCGATTATTGCGATAAGTAGCCTCGAAGTGCACACGAGAGACTCCGATCGAGAGATATGGATGGAGAAAGGAAGAGAACGAGAGAATGTGCGTATGAGAGAGAGGGAGAGAAAGAGAAAGAAAGAGAACGTTACAAAATGCCTTCCATTCCACTCCCCGAATCCCTCACCGCGCCCAAACCGGGTTCGCTTTTGCTACAGTGATCTCGCATGCGATCGTAAATCACCGATCACGGGACTGCGGTAACATGAAATTTCCTCCTAAAAGATACAATATTATTACGCCGCGAGAGATTGTATAAAATTATAGAAGTTGTTATATATTCGACGGGCGCCGCGATAGCGTTTAATTTCATCGGTACGTTTGCGCAGAACTCGGCTGGTGCACAACACGGCCCAGCGTGTGTCTGTGTGTCTGTGCGTGTATTTGAGGGTGCGTAAGCGTGTGTGCGTATCGTTTCCGCGGCGGAATGATGTACCATTACGGGATGCCGGACACGAAAGGGGAGTGACAAACAAACAAATTGTACATAACTATATAAGGGGACGTCGGTTGTATATTAAAAAGCGTGCCGAGGAGAGATAAGGGGGAAAAGAAACTCGAAGAGTCGATCGAGATCTTTTTATATTGAATGAAAACAAAAAAAAAGACGTAGTATTTTTAGATGTTTCTAATAAGATGATTATCCTCGGTATTCGTCGCCGTCGTTGCGCGTGGTGTGAGCTTGGCCGAGCTATGCTTAAACGTGACGCCTCCGCTGATTCTATTCGATTCTATTTGTCGCCCGTGATTTTGTTATTGCGGACGCCGCTTTACGTCGGCCGTGTCGCACGGTGTACCGGAGGAGCTAAAGCCTGGTACGCACTTGGAAATGTTCGGAATTTATGGAAGTGTTACGCTGAATTGAAAGTTCAACTGAATTTCAATCCTTGATCAATGGTCTGATTTAAAATGAAATCAAGATCTTCATATACTTTCTTCAATTGTCTAACAAGACTGAGTTCTGAACAATCATATACGATAGAAATGCACGAAATCTGCAGTCAATTAATCATTACTATAAAATACATTCGATTTTATTAAATTTCTTAACACCGTGTTTGGAGTAGCTGATCTTTCTTGGCATTCTACAATTCCAAGTGCGTACACGGCTAAAGGAAATTGCATGCTTCGTCGATTTTTATGTCAAGTCGTTGTAACATTTAAATTCTCGAACGTCACACGGAAACAGGAGTTGTGATCCAGATAACTTTGTCGAACGAGGTTCGATGGCGTAACACATTGATTTTACCTAAATCTTCTCACATGTTTCTTCTAGAATACTTAATTCAGCGGTTTATTTCGATTGGCTTACATAGCGAGTAGATGAACCATTACGTCCAATTTATCCATCGATGGCAGGTAGATTCGTCAATTCAAAATTCGTCGCGTGAAGATTTTTATACGAACCGTTCAGACCCGGGGCAGTCCATTCGTTTCGCAAAGCGGATCAAACAAGACGACAAAATTATAGAAGCAGCTGCGTACATGTGCCTCTAGATTCCTTAACCAAACAAAACGACAACGATCGCGAATTTCGAACCAGATAGTCTCCGTTCATCGGATGAAATTAATTATCTGCTCGGAGTCCCCTGAGAACAACTTAGAGAACTTAATGAACCAATTAATATTTCAATTCGTCGATCACGAAACGAATGTCCTTACGTATTTATACAAGAAGTTGAGCAATGCCGGAGGTAATGGAACGAGGAAATGAAAACACTTCCGATAGTTGAGCAGCCAATTAATTTTCTTCGACTTCTGAGATATCAGAGGGACGACCTGCACATCGATTCCTGGTGTAATTGTCGCTGACTTGTCACTATTCCTGGGAGCACATTCAGAATTGCGCTTCTGGCAGAAATCTTCTACGTAATCTGCACCAACTTCTATCCGACTCGCATACTCACCGTAAAGAGACAATGAAGAGAACAGTTCCCGCGGACGCGCTAGACACGTAGATCCCAGCACACGAAGCTTTCGCAGTAACTCCGCATTCGTCTGAACGATGTATCTTCCCTGTCACGCGAGAAATCGTGGTTAAGGGTGAACGTATTCGAACAGGGTTGTAAGAATACACGTTCGTATTCGTCGTTACACTTTTATAAACGTTTACAGGTGAAACAACTTCGTTCTAGTTCCTTGCGGTGGGTTGATATTTCTGTATTAAGCGGTAAATAGTTAAAAGGCATTGAACGAAAGAGCATTTCAATTCTTTAATAATTGGAGAAGTAAGCTTTTAGAATTTGATTTGTTGCATTACAATCCTGTGCAAGATTCATTGATCTGTGTTTTATTTGATTTCTAAGTTTGTTTCTATGCTACATGTTTCGTTATGTGTTCGATCTAAAGTTAGCAAGACAGTAAATAGAGCACAGTGTATATGTTCAGCGACCCAGTGTAAATGGCTAGAATCAATTTGCTTCATCAAACGATGAATCTATTCGCGCTGCTGTCCGAACATCCCTCTTATCGTGCGTTATCCGAGCGAAACAAACAAGAAATAACTATATTTTCCTGGCAAACTGGACGGAAGGACAAGAGTATAAACACCGTCACGTTCGTTCGTTGACGTGCGGCCAAATTCAGTGAACCGAATCGTAGGTTCGGAAGCCTGTGAGGAATAGAAAGTATTCGTAAAGGTGCTTTAACGAGGCATTGGTGCGTTAAACTAAGCAAAAGTGAAATTATCTAGATGTAGGTAGCTGATAAGAGATCGATAATAGCGTTCTTTGTTGTATCTTGTGAACGAAATTCCATTTTCCTTTTCCCACCGGGCAAATTCTCCGCTTTCGGTTCAAACCTGGGGCTTAAGCGGTTTTGAGCGTAATATTTAGTGAATAGCTGTTATTTCGAAGTTCTGACTGAAACAATTGCAACCAAAAACACGCAGCATTAATGGGTGAAAGAAATCCTGATTTATATCTGTTGCGATTTTATAAAAGATATTTCAATACAAACGACACAACCGAATAGAAGAGTATTCTACTTAAAGAAAACAAAGAAGCAAACAGGAAAGAATAAGATTTCCTTCTTTAAAACTACGTGTTCCGAATTCTTTGTGAATCCTGGTACGTCTGTTCATGACCAACTGTTTTTATTTCTTACAAGTACTACTTCGTACGTTTCGCGCGAACATTCTATCTCGGAATTGAAAGCTGCTACGAACAACTGCCGGCGTTATCGAGTCAGTAGTTCTGATTCAGAAAATGAGAACTTAATAAACTTTTAGAAGCAGCGCTCAAGCGATACATAATCGGTGTAAATTCGACGCAATAACAGTTCCGTAGAGTCGTATCTGAAATCGACACAAGCCAGAGCATTTTTCATCCGTAACAGCTGAAACTTCATTTCAATTCTCATAACCGTTTCAAGAACCGAAACCGACATTATCGTTTCCGAGCCCAGGTTCAAACTACACGTCCGTAAATTCGGCTCGCTTCTGTTCCCCGTTCGTTTCCTCTGTAGTTAGTTCCGTTATCGATTGTTTGTACACGTTCATCGAGAAATCACGCGTGTGGACGACGTTCTTTTTCTACGGAGATAATCGGGAGGAGAGTTAGAATAATTCTGGGGAAACGAGGGTGTTGAGCGTGCGCCGGTCGCGAGGGGCAACTCGCGTTGCCAACTGCGTGGTCACGCGAATCCTATAAGAAAAGTCGTTTATAAAGAAGCGTTATATTTACAAAAGGGTGTGGATGAAGTTGTTACGTGGCGTTCTGCGAGAGTTGTTGTAAATACCTGTCGGTACGAGTCATGCCAGATATAAGACTGTATATTTGAAGAATATAGAGCTATAAGTCGTTATGAATAAATAAACTGAATAAATATATTGAGAGAGAAAGGACGGCTCGTTTTGAATTATTCGTCTCATGACCCAATTAAATCCGTTACAGTATCCGAATCGAACAATGAATTTCGCTTTTATCAAAAACGAAGTGTTTTTGTCGGATTCAACACGTTTCAAATCCAATCTATGATACAACGGTTTAAAAAGTTCCTTGAGACCCATTCAAGTTTAAAATTGCAATTTTCTATCCGATATTCGAGCCTTTACGAGATCGAACTTAAATTAAACATATCTCCACATGAATAAAAAAACGAATGAATTAATTCCTTTTTCATTTCTTTTCTTCTAATTCTTTATACGTTGAAACTTTAAATCACAGAGAGTCCCGAAGAATCTCTGGACCAATGAAATATCAGCGTTTATGAGTTACGAGCTCGTATCGCGACGCGTGCTTCCACCATTTTCCCGATCGCGGCCGATATCTCGTGCCCGAGTGGACATTTCATTTCGTTAACGCGATTGCGAGTGTCCGAGGGCGGCGAATATCGCGAGCTCACTTTAATTGGGATTACGTTTCAATTAAAACTCTGTTCCCATTAGGCGGAGCCGCTGAGTTTTGGAGAATAATTGATACGAACAACACGTTATCCGATTGCGAGGCTGGTTAAAATATGCATGTTTGCCAATCAAGAGGTGTCCAGGGTTAAACACCTGCTCGCGCTCCCTTTCCCCTGTTCACGCGCCCGCCGCCGGCATTCCGCACACTCCATGGATAAATATGAGATTACGGGGCTTCCTCCTGTCGGATTACGCGCGTGTATTCGCGTGCGCCGCGCCGAGACTCAGCTGGCAAACATTGATACCTTTGAGTCAGTCTGGATGAAATTTCAATGATACGCGGATTCTGAAATGCTGTCGCGCCACGGTTTCCGCCACTCGTTAGCTCTGATCTGTTTGTCAATTAAAACCGCCTCCGGGCAATTATCTGGCCTGTTCGTTCATCGCAAGAATCGCTTGTATCTCATTCGACTGAGCGTTCGACCACTTGCTTTATGACATCGAGTCATACGGGATGAAGATTTTAAATTGAATTTAATGAATATGAATGAACGTCCTACGATTCACGTTACTTGAAGGAAAATACTCGCAAGTATGAATATCGAACGTTTCGCATGTGGAGAACATATTATTCCTCTTAATTATTTGAATTTTGTTCGTATTAACCACTTCCCTTTTTATTGTTGTAACATCCTGCAACAGGTAAGTCATATTGAACGGTCGTGTAAAATTCTTCTTAACGCAAGAACGATACAATGTTTCCTTTAAAGGCAACATAATATTATTTTGTTATGTTGAACACAGTTTCTAAGCTAGCAGCGTTTGTTATCCCCAGCCAATGTTGTGTCGATAGACAAATAATCGTATTTAATATCACCGTGACAATATATACATATGGCAAAAAATTGATGAAATGAATCGTGGCTCTGCAGTTTTTCCAAATGTCTATGGTGCGAGCGCTAGTGAACGTGTTCCGAGCACATGTCGAATTTTTCTTTTGCTCCAGCGGAACTCGTGATCAACCCGGGTCGCTTTGAGCACGTCGCAAATTTCGGGCGACGCGCTGACGCCGACCCTGCGAAAGGACACAAAAGTTTAATAAATCCATTCAACGCGTTTAATAGGAGGGACCGTATGCGTCCGTCGCTTATTGCCGACGCAACATATTCAGCAATTTGTCCATTCGATGAGATATCCGGCTCGCAATTTATCCGTTTGGCAAAATGACAATTCGACAGTTTGCCCCGTGCATGACGCGCCCTTTCGCCGATTGGACACCGTCCCATTCGAGCTTCGACTCCTCTGTTCAATATTTTTTTTAGCTCTTCCCGCGCGTCGCACTATGAGCTATTTGCATCACAAATGCGGTAAAAAATCCCTTTCCATAAATATCCCGAAAACCGAAAACAGTATATACATGGTTAGTATATATTTATGATAAATATATGGGCAATAATGTGGTACTTTTTTTCATATTTGTTAATTATTCACAAAATCACATAGCTTTAAAAAAGACAATCTCGAAAAGATTAGAAACTGAAATGATCGATTGCAACTTCACTGCTTTTACAATTTAAATAATTCCAAGTAGGATTGAGTGTACTGATGTATGTACTTGAATATTATTAAACTTCGTGTCGATATCATAAACATTTACTTAATTATACAGTGTTTAACATTTTTGATATCCACCTTCGGTTTCAAAAACAAATTTAGTATACTTCAGTGTTCTGTCTGGTACTACTGAAAAGGGAAAAGCCTAAGCTTTAATAAGAAATAAAAAGTGGCTGCTATTAGCTGCTACTGCGGTAGCTATTGTAATTTTTATTTAAAATTACAATCTCGTGTACCAATTGGAATAAATGCTGAATTGTTGTTCATTGAGTTGCATCAGATTCGTTGGTTTCGCGTAATCTATTATTTCTTACAGTTCACGGGACATTTCCACAATTCTCTTTTGTTAAAAGAACAATGACTATTAGTAGGCAGTAAGCTACGGTAAAACAGTACAAATCGATTATTTCGATAAAAACGAATATTGCTCCATTAAGAAGCCAAGAATATCCCGAGGAACTTTCATGGCTGGTTGTTAGCGGACGCTTCAGTTTTGCTCGTCGCTCGACGTAACACCAATACTAATTCGCGAGGAACTCGCGAACAAACGGGTCAGGTGCGCGATTCCTGTCAGTAAATCCGTTCGATTCAAAAATGTCTGAGTTGAATCTGAAACGGAGCCGAAGTTCGTCCACTCCGAGCAACTAGAGCTCTTAACTTCAAGCTTTCCGACCGGTTAAAGAAACAAGAAAGGAACGAGGCAGCTGAAGAAGCAGAAATAAGATATTCCAGGATGGCAAAGAGTAATGATAACGGGTTGGGTGGCTGGCAGGAAACAGCGAACGCCAGGGGCGGAAGGGGGGAGGGGGGGCGAGAAGAATAAAGGAGAAGAGACGCAAAACTTCCCAGTGAATGAAGACGCGAAAAAGAGGGACGAAGATGAGAGGTGGAAAACGGAGACCAAGAGAGGACGGTCGCAGAAGAGAGCGCACGGAAATGAAGGTACGTAAGGTAATATGTACCTATCCCGTTATGGAAATGAGAGCAACCAAACGCGAGGCGTCTGCGTGTGTGCGTTTGTACGTGTGCACCAGCGCAAACGAGAGACATCCACTGCATCTCTAATACGTCGCCGTGCTTGCAGCTTTCGCTTCTTGTCCTCATATTGCGCCCACTGACAATGCATCTTTGGCACACCGAAATCCTCTGTTACACCTAAGAATCTTATCACGGGATCGGAATAATCGAACGGGGCGCCATGTTTCTTGCTCGCGGAACTCCGTGAGCCGAGATTCGAATGGCGGTTCGATTAAGGGAACCCGACGATGCGTCTCTGTCCCGATTAATTGCAGACGCACGCCGATACTGTAAATTTCAACGGTTCTTGCGAGGTAGAACGATTTGTCCGTTGAAATATCATTGAACGTGAAATGATTATTTCTATGTTTATACCAGTGATTGCTCAGCGAAGAGGAAAGCACTTGAGAGGAAATGTTAAATTTGAATTTGAAAAGATCGAAAAGAAAACGTTCTTTCGGAATATATTTCGAAATCTTTGTTTTCATGGGCCTGTGAATATTAAAAGTAGATGCAATCTTTTGAACAGTAGAATTGACGTTTTCGAAGTGATATTTAGATACGGTTGGACTTCGGATGAGCAAATAAAGATACTGGTAAATGACTTTATAAACACGGAATATGAACAGACATTAGTTTGATGTTTTTCGAAAGGTATTAGGAACTTAATAAACGAGTAAAAAATTGTGTTAAATTTCTATTAAGATTTTCGTTTCATTTTATTTCGCGGAGCGCGTATACTATGAGTGCATGTAATTTGCATATCGTTTACGGTGACTTAATTGAGTTGAATATAAAATTGATTGAAGGTTGTTCAAGCGTAAATTGAAACTGGTAATAGATATACGTTGCGTTCTGAGCCGCGACATTTAAGCTGAAACGTTAATTGTTTCATAATCGGTAACAAAATTAAATTAGAATCGCCGGATATTTTTAGAATTTAGATTTCGAATAATTTGTTCTGAGCAGTTCAAGTTTGCGCAGCAATTTCATGAAACTATTTGCATCTCGTTAGCAAAGGTGCATAAAATCTAACAAGTTTAATGGGCTACAAAATATCATTTAAAAAGTATCCACTGTCGAGCTACTTAATAAAATCTTTAATGGGAATTTGAATCTTAATTGCAGCGATGTATTGAGCTATTCAGATGTACGGCGACTCGTTCGCCTCCACCGGCATTAATATTTAAGATGGCTGCTGCTTATACCTCAATTCGTTATGAGAAGAGTTACTCGACTTCCAACTAATGAGTCTCGTATAACTTTAGACTTATAATTAGACTGCAGATTTTATGCATTTATAGCAGACCTCAAGGTGCATACCATATCGAAATAAAAACAGTTATCGGACGCAAATTAAATCGCGCGATATTTTTATCTCAACAAACATTCCTGTTAACGGAATAAATCATCCTTTGATTCCGTCTTTCAAATGCTACCTGATAATCGCAATTCAACCAAACATCCTGCGATGACTGGCAATAAATTAAATTAATTCAGATTTATAACTTTTCATAATATTCCAGGAAAAAAGTTAGCCTCTAATTCGATATTTTCATTCTCCATCTATGCATAAATTTAATAAATTCGAATAAATCTCTAAACTATGGAGACGACGAGAGTACTACGCGCGGCGTAGAAAAAACGAATTTATACTTTTTCGTTTGGAAGCCAACGAATAACGGGTTTTCCGCCAATTCCCAGGCAGAATTATACGGTTACAAAGGAACACGATTTTCTCGTTACAGGGACCTGTATGGTCCGCTAGATTGACCGACTGTTTGTACCAATGGCGACGATTTTTCTCGTGATAAATCGAAGAAAATTACCGGGCGGTCGGGCGCAGGAAACGGTGG